TTAAATTGATATACCTTGTGGTAGATGTTGACATAGAGGAAAATTAACTTTCTGGACAAAATTTAATTTTAGAAAACTAATGGCGGTGCCATTCCCCAAACTCCAAGGCACAGCTCTGTCATCCACCACCCCCAGTCAGTCACTAAAGGGGTGCTAATACGTTTTGACATAAAGGGACACAATTGAATTACTTGGTCTTCATTTAATCCTTACGTACTTTTCCTCCCACGAGTTCCAGTTGCTTGTTTTCATGTTATCAGTCAGCATGGAAAATACCAGCTGGGAAAAAATCCAGGGAAATCGGTACCAACCACACCAGACGGTGTGTCCCCAAAGGGAGCCCTGTGTCTTTTCTAAAATGTCTGGGGAGATTCCTGTCTCCCACTAAACATCTTCCAATATCTGATAGCAGAAGATATTATAGCTTGTGAGGCAGGAGTTTATCTAGTGAAGCACTTTTTAGAATAATAGTTATCCTTCTAATAGCTAGTATCTATTGAACTCTTACAAAGGGCCGGGTCTTTGTCTAAGCATGTCACCCATATTGATTCATTGAATCCTCATAATACCATGTGTGATTACTGTTATTATCCCCCACTTTACCTATGAGGACAGAGAAGCAGTTTCCTGTTTCGATAAGTAAATTGGAAGAACTTGACTTCTGAGCCAGGCAGTCTGACTTGGAGGCCAAACTCTCAGCCTCTTTGTTGCTGAGCTGCCTCTCATACTCACTGTGGGCAACCTGGATCACGGATCCTGTAGTAGGGTGCCCTAAAATTGATGATTGGCCTTATCTGAGGCTAAAGATGGGTCTGACAGCAGACCAACCACAAGGATCTCTAGTCAGAAGACAGCTGAAGCAGGCCTGTTGCTCCTGGGGAAATAGGAGGCATTGGAGATTGGGGTGGAGGAGAGGGCGGTTGCTGGGGATACTATGGGAGGTCAAGCAAGAGTGTGAGTGTAGAGATGGAGGGGTGGATGGGAGAGAGTGATAAGGGGTGAGTATCTCCATTTGACTCTGTTGCTTACCTGCTCATTCTGGAGATGAGTTGAGGTCACCTGTGAATCTATTGAGGCATGGAAATTTCTGTTTGAATGACAGTTCCTGCCTGGGGTGTTGCTTCCGTGCAATTTATCAATCAGGGAGCTCAGGGAAGACCAGGATTCAGGAGACCTGAGTGTGCAGTTGGCACCTCACGGCGTGTCTCAACCTTTACAGATGAGTAGGCGGGAGGCAGATGGATATGGACAGGGGGCAGGCAAGGATGAGATTTTTTGTTTTTGTTTATTTATTTTTTTAAAAAAATTTATTAGTGAGACATCATGAGGTACAGTTGCAGACTTACAAATTTTTGTGCTTGGATTTCAATTATACAATGATCAAATACCCATCCCTCCACCAGTGCCCATTTCCCACCACCACAGATCCCAGTATCCCTCCCACCCACCATCCCCCCTCATCCCACCCTGCCTCTGTGGCAGGGCATTCCCTTTTGTTCTCTCTCTCTTATTGGGTGTTGTGGTTGAGTTTTGAGAATGGTGCTGAACACAGGTCAGCCCCGAGGAACCCCACCCCCATCCCTGGAAGGAATACCTGACACTTATCTCTGCATTTTCTAAAGCCTCTTTTCAAGTTCACAGCTACTGCTTCTACTGCTATAGCCAAGGGCCAGTTTTGAGACTTCCCAATCCACAAGCCACACTCTACCTCAAAGCTGTTTCAGTGGACACTCTGACCTCTCACTCCTTCTGAGACAGAGTCTGGTGACCACTATGTTTCGTGGTTCCAGCCCCCATCTTAACTGCTAGGCTTGAAGGAAAGTATTTGCTAATTACAAACTTTGGAGGCCACTAGGGAGAAATGAAAAATAAAAAGACTGGAACCTTGGCTCTCAGGAGAAATATTTGGCCTGGACTTTGTATGGGAGCTCTGCGAATTAAGGCCACTCTGCTTTCGTGTCGGCTCAAATCAGATATCACTCTGGTTCTTATTTTAACTCTCATCCTGAATTATCCATTGTTTACATATGAGCATACTATTAAAATAACAATATTTTCAGAAGTATCACTCAATGCAAAATGATCCCTAAAATCCCTCCTCAGAATTTCTACTTGGAACATGTTGACCATTTTCTCCAAATACTTCTATATGCTCAAAACTTCTGAAAGTCAACAAATTCCATAAATGATATTATGCCATGCAAAATTTTCCATGATTTTTATGTAATAATAGTTTATTATCAGACTTCCCTGAAAAACACTGATCTACAGACTTATATATAATATTTTCCTACTCTTTTTCCTGAATGTTCCATGCTTTACTTAGCTAACTTCTTATCCATTATCTACTTAGGAAGAGTCAGCACATCATAAAGATCACAAAATTCCATGACTCTGCAGTAAAATTCATGCTGTTCTTGGCCCTTTAGAACAGGGAGACCAAAAACAGGGTATATTTCTGCTCCCTCTCTGATACTTGGTAGCTGTATCAACTAAAAATTACTTGCCTATTCCAAACTTCAGCCTCCCTGTCTGTAAATGGAGGTATAGGAATGTTGGTATGGGTTTTTGTTGTTTGGGACCTCCCAAGTACTGCTCAGGCTGTCTAAATGGGGACCCATTTGGCAATAATCAGGCAAGCAGAGAGACCCTGGGTCCAGCAGGAAGTACCCACACCACCTGGCACTGCTTAGGACCTCGTGGACTGCACCTGGAAGTGTCCACGGTACCATGTGGTGGGGGAATTGAACCCAGGTTGTGCCACTGTACTCTCTCCAGCCCTGGTGTGGGTATGTGCAATTTTTAAGTTTATTCTATTCATTTTCAAACATGGCCCCCAACTCTATCAAACCTTAATATTTCTATCACAGTTTAAATATATTCTGGTCAGGTTTATTCCCCGATGCCTCTCCCATATCCAGCACAGTGCCCTATACAAAGCAGCCACTCCGCAAACACACTTTGACCAAATGGACCAATGCAAGGAGTAAATAGTCCTCTCAATTTTCTCTTAGAAATGTCTGCCTTGGGGCAGAAGGCAGCTGGGATAGAGAAGAGATCACTAAGTCAATGATGGTTGGAGGAATCGTTCGGGATGGGAGATGTGTGCTCAAAGTAGATAAAGAACCGAATGTGATAGCCTCTCAGTATCTATATTGCAAACCATAATGCCCCAAAGTAGAATGAGAGTATGGAGGAAATTGTTTGCCATAGAGGCAGGGAGAGGGTTGGGAATCGGGGCAGTATACTGGGGACATTGGTGGTGGAGAATGTGCACTGGTGGAGAGATGGGTGTTCGATCATTGTATGATTGAAATTCAAATATGAAAGCTTTGTAACTATCTCATGGTGATTCCAAAAAAAAAATTTTTTTTAAAAAGAAATGTCTGCCTTGGAGGCCAGAGAGAGAACATGCAGTTAGGGCATTTCCCTGCATGTACCCAGTCCCAATTCTAACCCAGCACCCCCTATGGTCCCATAGTTCAAATGAGTGATCCTTGAGTAGCCCTGAATGTGACCCAACACCTTCCCCCAAAAAACAGGTCTTTCTTGGGGTTTTTGTATTGGTTTAGTGTTTAATTCACTGACCCTTAGATAGTCTTCCCCACCCACTGTCTGTCTTTAGAATTCATGTGCTTGCATTTAAGTCTGTGTGTGTTTGCAGGAACATATAAGTGTACATGTAAGTGTCTGTGGTTGTTCTGCTGAGAGGAGTGGGTGATACCGGGAATCTATTTGGGAAGATTTACAGAACTTTGCTCTTAATGAGGTTTTAGATGAAAGAATGAGATTATGTTATTTTCTTTTCCTTCTAAGAGAAGCTATGAAATTGCATTTAAGGTATTCGAAATACTTTAATATCCTCCTTCCATCAATATTATTCTTCTTCCCACCCACTTTCTTCCTTAATTCATTCTCTCTCTTGTATTCTTTTTTCTCAATTTCCCTTTTTCCCCTAATATTCCTCTTACCCTCAATTGATCGGAACTGAGCAGTAAACTTTTTCTGCTTTAGGTAGTGATGTCTGTTATCCCCTAAAGTAAGAAAAGCAATCATGAATTTGAGAAAATTATCTAAACCTGTGAAACCTAAGATATATTCAAGTATAAGTGAGGATTATATGATATATATGTTTATATAATAATAAATATTCTAAAAAATATTTTTATCCACAGAGGTAATGGTGAAAATCAAATTGTTTCACTCAGCTAGTGCTCAGGATAAAGTCATTTTGAGAAATTTCTTTAAGAACACTGAGGCAATTTTTAAGAATTCTGAGGGTGAATGGGATACTTTAGGAAGTTTGTACTGTTTATGGCTATTTAATATGTATTCTGAACCAATTTGATTGAGTTCATGAAGCAAGTTCATAAACACAAGTCACATACATTCCCTTTCTAAAAAAAGTACACTGCATATGTCAATAATTTTCCTTAATTTTGGAATAATCATAAGTGCTATCGTGGGTAGCAGTGAGTATACTATTCTTTGACAGGGGTTATCTCATAGACTATTGAGGTATCTCAAGCTGGTTTAACCTCAATCCTTGATTCTTGGTCTGCTTTTTGTGTTTGTCACTGCAGAGACTGCCATTGATCAAATGTGATGGGCATATTTATAGGCCTTTATTATCATTTATCATGATAATTATTATGGCAGCTCTTTAAAGCTCTGGTTCATTTCTTCCAATCACATTGGCTGCCTCTGATTTACTGTGGAACTATACATGATCTCATTGAGCTGTTTAAGCTAGAAATGGCCTCTAGAAGTTTCTTGCCTGTTTGTTTCCATGTTTTTACCTAAGCTCCCAACACCTGAGACTTCTGAAGAAGTGTTCTCCAGATTAATTGCTGTATTCTCATACAAGTCCCTTAATCACAGTGGTGTGAATATGAGCTTTTTCTTTTTTAACCACGAAGAGATGCCTTTTGTCCCTCTGGTGCCCAAGACTCCCCGTTCCACTCTCTCCTATATCTGACCACTTGGTTTTTGTTTTGCAGCCCCCAATCTGTCCCCGATCGCCTGAGGATCCGTGTGAACAAAATCAGTTTACAAGACTACGAAGGATTTCACTATGAGAAAGAGAAACTCCGGGAAGCTTGTAAGTTGGAAGCGTATAACTGATGCCATGGGGTCACCCTATCTTCAGCTTCTTGATGCCCTTGTTTGGATGAATAGACTCATCGTATGTCTGGGAAGGGAAGTATCTTAGTCATGTGAACCCCAAATGATAATATTTAGGCTGAAGAAAATAACACTTGGAAAAGAAAGGAGTCAGAATAAAGTTAATCAGGGCTGGAACAATAGCACCGCGGGCAGGGTGTTTGCCTTGCACGCAGCTGACCTGGGTTCGATTCCCAGAATCCCATATGGTCCCCTGAGCATCGCCAGGGGTAATTCCTGAGTGCAGACCCAAGAATAACCCCTGTGCATTGCCGGGTGTGACCCAAAAAGAAAAAAAAAAGAATAAAGTTAATCTTCTATAAATGCTAAGTTAGGGTCTCTCTGTTTATTAGCCATTTTAGATTCAAATTTCTCCAAACTGAGAAAAACTGAACATTGATGATACTTCATAGTATCTATTATAAAGAAGCAATGGAAAACATGATCAATGAACAATAATTGATATAAGTAATTGTCCATTCATTTATTTACATTAGGTATTTGTTGGGTACTTTTTACTTTCTATCCACCTTTTAGACCCCTATTCATATCATAATAGATAAGGCAACCCGGATGGGAGATGCGTGCTGAAAGTAGACTATAGACTGAACATGATGGCCACTTAATGCCTGCATTGTAAACCATAACACCCAAAAAGAGAGAGAGAGTAAAAGGGAGTGTGCCTGCCACAGAGGCGGGGGTGGGGTGGTGGGGTGGGGGTGACAGGAGGGATAGTGGGAACATTGGTTATGGAGAATGGGTGCTAGTGGAGGGATGAGTACTTGACCATTGTGACTGAAACATAATCACAAAAGTGTGTAAGTCTGTAACTATATCTCACTCTGCTTCATTAAAAAAATTTTAAAAATATTTGAGGTAACAGGTAAAGCAGCCAAGAGGAAGTTAAAAGCGTAGACATCAGATATTAGCATCCTGGATTTCTACATAATTGTAGGCCCAAAAGTCAAGTGCGGTGAAGCCAGAAAAGACTAGGGCTGATGCTCAGGGTCAGGCAACAATGTTATCAGTAATAAAGAGAAATTGTTCACAGCCAGAGATTTATGAAATCCATAGTGACATCTGAGTGTGAACCTGTTTCTGGAGAGACAAGCAGGCAAGAGTGGCTGGAATGGGGTAGGGGCGAAGTGATCTGGAGTCCTGAGCTTGGTTTTCCAAACCTGTGATCTGGAATGGGGTTTCAGGCATAGAAATTGTGAGGTCGGGGGCCAGTGTTGCATGGTGCAGGCATTTGGGATCTGGAGGTAATAGTGAGCCCAGGCCTGTTTCCTTGGTAGCCCAATCTCTGCTGGGGATTGTGTTCAATATTTCTGCCTTCTTCAGTTCTCTCTTCTATTTGTTTTCCTCATTCGCCTTAGAAATCTTTCATTATTCCCCAGGCTTCTTGTACTACTCTACTCTTAACCCATTGGTGGGAAAGTTGGTGGTGTGGGAGAGAACCAATTCCCTGAATTTCTGCATTTTTCTTTCTTCTCTAACTAACAGCTTACATTTTCAAATATAGATGAGATTATGAATGGAAGACCAGCAGGAAACTTAATTTAATCTGCAACATGATGGGCATATATATTTTCAATAGGAATCTAGCTACAGTGAAAAGTACACTAATTTTTGGAGACTGTTATGCCACATAGAGTTTTACGTTCTCTCCTCTTTCAAATTTCTAAGCAAATAGTTGATAACTTTTTGAGGTACTATAAAGAGCAAAAAGAGTAAATTTCAAGTCAGCAGTATTTTTCAGCTTACCATCGATTCTGAAAAAAGTTCAGTGGGGTGGGGAAACATTTGAAAATTCTGGCCGAAATGAAATTTTCAGCTCGTCTATGAATTTCAAGGATCTGTTCTATCTTTTATGTGGCAGTATCTGTCCAACATAGTAAGAGATTATTGTGATTTGGTTTTTACAAGAAACTGCCATTTCCTGGCAAGTAATTTACTCATCAACTCTTTTGTGATTAAAACTTCCCTTCTAGGTAACTTCTTTTGTCAAAGTGGGAGTAGGAGGTGGCTTAGCATGCATTCAGTAAATTCGGAAATGGATTGAGACCCCCCCAAAGAGCAAACAAGCACAGAAGATTAGAATAATTATAAAGTTTTGGGGGCTGGAGCTATAGCACAGCGGGTAGGGCATTTGCCTTGCATGCGGCCAACCCAGGTTCGATTCCCAACATCCCATATGGTCCCCCGAGCACCGCCAGGAGTAATTCCTGAGTGAAGATTCAAGAGTAACCCCTGTGCATCGCTGGGTGTGACCCAAAAAGCAAAAAACATAAAATGAAATAAAGTTTTGAGTTTAAAGAAAGCAATATATTAATTAGAAATAAAAATGGAGAGAGAGGAGAAAATAAAAGAAGTAAAAGTCATTCTCTTTATAAAACAGTGATAATACTTTAGTTAGAATGATAATGCTTATGAACTGTGATTGTTCAGGAAAGTTCGCCCTTCGGTTTGTTGATCTCTCATTCACCCTCCCTCATTACCTGTCTGAAACCTGATTATAAATTTATGGTGAGGCTGACTGAATTCAAGTTGTTTATAAAGGCAGAAGCAGTTCAAATCTATGGATCATGTGCAGGCCAACATAGTGCATGTTACTTGAGACACATTAAATGACATACATACTGATGCATCTAACACATCTAGATAAGAGGACTCTTAGACTTTAATTAGCATCTGAGGAGGAAAACAAAGGGAGCCAACCCACTTTATGGTCAATGTTCATAAATAAAGTAAAATAGAACAGCTGCTGAGCTTAAAAAAAAATGAGTTCCCTTTTATTTATTTATTTATTTAAAAAATCTTTTTATTTTGGGGAAATTGTGAGATAGTTACAAAGCTTTCATATTTGAGTTTCAGTCATACAATGATCGACCCATCCCTCCACCAGTGCACATTCTCCACCACTAATGTCCCCAGTATCTCCCCACCCCTTTCCAACCCTTCCCTTGCCTCTGTGGCAGACAATTTCCCCCCTACTCTCTCTCTCCTTTTGGACATTATGGTTTGCAATACAGATACAGAAAGGCTATCACGTTTAGTCCTTTATCTACTTTCAGCACACATCTTCCAGCTGGAGGTCCCTTTTTAAATAATACACCAAGTGATTCACTCAGGCATTATGTGTCTATTTGGCATGTCTGTTTAAGAGAATCTTGTTCACGTGTTCAGGTCATTAGGTATTTTAGATTACAAGCTCTAATGTTTGTTAGGTAAAGGTAAAGGTAAAGGCCCTCCCGTTGATCGTCGATTTGCTCGAGTGGGCCCAGTAACGTCTCCATTGGAGACTTTGTTGTTACTGTGTCTGGCATATCGAAACAAAGATGAAAAGAGCAAAATGGCCAAAGAGTCTGGTGATCCCTTTTCAGGAACACTAAAGATAATAGAACCTTACCTGCAGACCCTTAGCCTTTGCTTCTAAGCCTCCCCTTCAGTCTGCCTCTGCTTACTTCTCAACAAGACAGTTCTCAGAGCACAAACCCTCCAAGCTGGAGCAGGGGGTACCTTGGTGGATCAGTAAGTGCCAGTCTGACAGGTGCTGGGGTCTCACAGTGGGGAGTTCTGGTTTGTCCTAATCCTGCAGAATCTTCTCTTTGATCCTGGAGTGATAAATGTTTGTTATCTAACAATATTTGTAATTTTGTCTATTCTGTAAGATTCCTTGTAATTACAGGCTGGTGTTCCTTCCAATGGTCTTTCTTGTTTTAGTGTAGAAAAAAGATGACTCCACTAGTTCCAATACATCTCACATCCCTTCTCTTAAGCCTCCTTGGAGAATACTTCCTAAAATAATACCATGAGGAAAGTTAGTCTTTGCCAGTCCCTTCATCAGCTCCAGCTGGTAAATTTGTTTCACTTAAAATAATTAGGTTATTTTCATTGGTCTGTGAGTTTTATCCTCAAGATAATGGTCATCACCATCACGATCACGATCACGATCATCCTGTTGTTCGTCAATTGCCTCAAGCAGGCACCAGTAACGTCTCCTTCTTCCTAGCCCTGAGATTTTAAAAAGTGCCATATTCAAGGTTCTTTCAGGGTTAGGAGAAAGAAACCCATCATTGTTACTGGTATTTGGTATATTGGGTATACCACGGGGAGTTTGCCAGACTCTGGCATGTGAGCAGGTTATATTCGGTAGCCTGTCAGGTTGTCCAAAGTAAGAACTAGATAATAAGATGTCTTCTGGGAGTTGGGTTTTATTGTCTCTGGGTCTTGGCTGTTGATGGGATTACATGGTGTGGGGAGGAGGAGGGGGGGCAGTTGGTGGGTTTGACCCCAGCCTACTGGAAGATGGAGGATCTGGGTGGAGAATGCTCAGCCCCAATTTGAGCAGGCTTGGAGATCTCAGCCCCGGGACCCGCATGCCTTTGTTCCTCTGCCGGTACCTTCATGCGTGTGGAGAGTGGTCTCAGCATGGTTGTGGCTGGTTCTGGAGGTCTTCAGCTGCCGGGGCTCTGCTCAGGGCGGGGAGGAAACTCAACCCACCCCCCTCCAAGGGGCCCCAGCGAGGACATCATGTCCAATAAAAAAAAGTCTATCCTACAGAAGAAGTGGAATATTAAATAAAAACAGTCCCATCAAAATAATTCTTAAAATAACTATATTAATGAAAGCAGATATTCTCTTCTATAATCTGTATGAGGTAATAAATCCTTAATAATGTATGTATTTATTATCCAAAAATCACAGGAACAGCTAAATAGGAAAGAAGGATTTTGCTGGCTAGAAAGCAATATATACGTTGGGAAGCAAGTCTGGCCAGCACAAGTGATAGAGCAAGCTTCTTGAAAGAATATGTTTCAATGGCAAATAGTGTTAGGGGGATGAAACCTGCTTGGGAATCTTCCAGGGAAAATAATGCATATTTATGAGGGGTGAGAGCATTCGCTTAGGGCTGGAGTGATAACACAGCGGTTAGGG